TTCTCGGTCCAGGGGGAGGCCAGCAAGAGCTACCACCTCATCCTGCCCGCTTTCTTCCACCTCCTGGATGCCCTGCACCGGGAGGAGAGAGCCTTCGCTGTTGTCTTCAGGACTTTTGGCACCGACCTGCCCCGTGCCCTCCAGGCTGTCCGCTGTGCCCTGGCCGGGCAGCACCCCCAGTTCCCTGCCCTACGGGATGTGGCGGTGAGTGGCACCCCGAGAAGGGCAGGTGGCCCGCGTGGAGCTCCCCCATGTCAGGCTGCTCTTGAGCCACTTGGCCGTCCCACTTCTAAAAGCTTCTGTGGAGAGGAGACACATCCCCTTGTTTCTCGGGATGAAGCTCTTAGCCAGCAGAGAGCAATGTGTGGAGATCCTCTGTGTGTGTGTGTATCCTGGGTGGGAAAGGTCTCCCCTTGGGGTATCCTGGGTTGGACAGAGCATACTTTCTCCCAGAGAGGGGCCACTGCAGCAGAGCGGGGCTCCCTGGCTCAGCCATGTTCTGCCCCTGGCAGCACGCTGCGCAGAAACAGTGGGAACAAGCTTCGGAAGCTGCTTTGGATGTTCCTCGGAGCATTGATGGGGAACAGAGATTGAAACGGGTGCAGTGTGCATCTAGGAGGCCATTCCTTTCCATCCCAGGGGAAGGGATGAGTTTTGATTGGGGGGGGGTTCCATGCCTCTTGTTTTCTCCCCAGTGCTGTCCTCCCACGCTGCGGTGATGGGGAGTCTCCACCCTGCTGTTTGTTTTCTCTGCCAATGCACTAAACAACCTGTCTGTTTCAGAAAGCTTTCCTCTCCTGCTTTCTGTGGTCCTGCAGCTCCCTGTGGACCTCACCCCTGGCCAGATACGCTGCAGCAAGAGAGGGGTGGTGCTGACAAGAGGAGCAGAGCAGTTGGCCAGCCGGGAAGATGTAAGAAAGCTTTACAACTACTTCAGCTCTTTGGAGGGAATTGGAGGCTTCCAAGACCACTTTGACTGGTGAGAAATAAGGCACTGAGGAAGTGGATTGGGCATTTTCTTCTCTCCTGTGATTCTCCAAACTTCTCCTGGTCTGGGATAGCTCCTAGTTTTGAAGTCTTTATATTGTTGGGGCCCCTATCACTTACATGCTCCTCACTTTGTCTGTGTGCAGCCTGATGGGGCTCTTGCATCTTTCTTCAGGTCCCCATCCCCTGGGGTACCTCCTGCTTTTCTCCAAACACCCCCTGATTTTTCACCTCACTGCAAAATTCCCCTTTCCTGGGAGGTGGCAGCGGACAGAGGGATAGGTCGGTCTCCATCCTGCTTACTTGGCTCACAAGGTTGCCCTGAGCCTGCAGTGCAGCCTTTCCTGCCTTTACTGGAGAGTTGCCGCCTTCTCCCCCCCGCACCCCCAACCCGCCGACTGCTCCTTGTCCCACTTGCTGTTTCAGGTGGGCCAGAAATCGGTTCTCTTCCCGGGGTGGGAAGCCCCTGTGGATTGACCCTTACGATCCCAACGTTCACCACATCTTCATCGATGACAACATCCGTCTGGATGATGCAGACACCATTGTTCATCCCCAGGTAAGCGTCTGAAGTCTGCTCTGGCACCAGCTACCAGCGCTGGGGGCTGTCCCTGGTGAGGTTGGGCATGTTTTGTCCCCTTTGCATGAGTGTCGGTGGCAGTGATGCGCGGGGCTGCCTGTGGAGAGGTTGAGATGGGCCATCAGCAGAGAACAGCAGGTGCTGGCTGCCTGCGCTCGCTGCTGAGTGCCTCTGCTCTGCCGGGGTGAGTCAGCCCCGCTCCCGGCAGCAGCAGGCCAGCCAGCCTCAGCGTGTGGCCGTGGCTCATCTGTGACACCAAATCAAAGGGGCAGTGTTTGTGGTGGAGCACGCTTGGAAGAGGGGACGTTTATACAGACAGAAATGCATCTGGAAGCTGGACAATTGTCGATGCTCGAACAAGAGCCGCAGCTCCATGGGCGAGTCTGAACCCCTGCCCGTTTCCATCTGGGAGGAGACAGTGCTGGGGGGGGGAAACCTGCGGCAGCCAGTGAATGGTCGGCAGCGTTTGCTGGGTAGCTGGGGAGTGGCAAGGAATGGGGTGCTCGTCAGATATTCCCTTCCATACAATCTCTCTCAGCTCATGGATTTGTAGCTGGTGGCAGGAGTTGTGGCTGCCCAGAGCAGACCTGTCAGGAATAGGCTTCAGTCTGTGCTGTGCCTGATTCAGGGGAATTAATGCGGACGGCTCTGCTGAGAGCCTGAGGCTCCTGGGCACTGCAGCTGCTGCTTGCGTGTTTGCAGCAGCCGGAGTGTGGCTCATGCAGCTCCACGCGCTGCGTTTCAGCCTCAGGCTGTTTCTCTGATCAAGGAGTTCCGCCTTTCCCATCTGTAGCCAGCATGGCTGGTCAGTCGGGCTGCTTGACTTGTATCAGGGCAGCCGTGCAGCCAGCCCCAGGGCTCCCCACACTGGATCAGTCAGGTGGGATCAGGTTATCGTGGCGGCAGACCTCGCTGGGGTCTGGGTGACAGCTGAACGTCTCACCAGCAGGACTCATCCCTGCTGCTAGAACTTTGCTGTCCTGCAGCCAGGGTCGATAGGTTGGACACCAGCTTTCCCTCCTCTTCCGTCACCAGCTCTGCAGGGCTGTCCCTGTGTCAGTGATGGTGACAGAGCAGCACTGGGAGGGAAACACACAGCCAGGTCGGCTTAGGCAGAACTGTGGTTAAGATCAGAAGGTGAAGTCCTTGTTCCTTCCTGTATGACAGGCTGTGGCAGCCAAAAGAAGAGCTGTTGGCAGAGGTTTTCCTGGGAGTCAGCCGTTCCACAGAGCCATTTTCTTCCATCTGTGTGGTGTTGCCCATTCCTTAGGGGAGGCCCAGCCACATGTGTGAGCTGGTGTGGGAAGGAGGGAGAATCTGGAGAAACTTCATCTCCTACCGCTGGAGTGGCGATGGGAGCCCCTGCCCTCTGCCACCGACCCACGGCCAGCATGAAGGCGCCTGGCCAAGGAGGAGGGCAGGGTGCACCACAGGATACATGCACTGCCGCGAGGCTCTGTGCTCCTGCTGGGCACAGCTGTGGCACTGCTGCCCATGGAGGGTGCAAGTGCTTCTGTGCGCTGCTCTCTCCCCGCAGGTGTTTTCAGAGCGGGGCAGCAGCAGCCCCAGGCGTGTTCCCACCTCGGAGCTTTACGACGTTTGCCTGGTGCAGACCGACTTGCTGGAGGCCATTGCAGACAATGACTATTTCCTGCGCTGCGTGAAGAGATGTGAGGAGAACTATGACCGCTACCTGGCCAGCATGGAGAAGGATGCACCGAGCCAGCAGCTGGATGGACAGTGATGCCACCTCCCGGGGCTGAGGGGCTCTGGAATGTGACACCCCCTGCTTCCTGCTGTGCACAAGCAAAGCCCCGAGCTGTGCTCCTGCTTTGAGCTGTCCCCTCTCTCTCCAATGCATGACACGCCTGCTCAGTCCTACCAGGAGACTCCATGCCCAAGCACAAGCATCCTGGGAGCTTGTGTGACAGGATCGCTGGAGGAAACAGCTTTTCTGTCCTCAGCAGCGCTGTGGGGAGCTGGCTGGCAGGGCAGGGGCAACACAGGCAGCCACACAGTGTTCACGCCTCCCTTCCCGCTCCCATACTGGTGGCTGGTGCCAGGGTAAGGGCAGTGTTACTGGCGGCACACCTGAGTGCCGTTTGTGCCGCGGTGTTCTCCCCAGCAGAGCTAGTGATGCCGTGTCACTTCTGCCTGTTTTTAAAGCAAACCTTTCTAGCTTGTTTCTGTTGTGATTTTCCTGCCTGCCTTCGGTTCTGCCTGTGCTGGTGGGTGGAAAGTGCCTTTCCTGGCGTGTTCATTTTCAGGGCTCAGCCAAGTGGGGACGAAGGTGACGGTAGAGGGTTTGGAACCAATGTACACCTTCCTGATGCTGCTGAGAGACCCCGGCATGGTTGTGCTCAGAGTGGGGCCAAGCTCATGCTCTGTCCCCAGCAGCCCCGCAGTAGTGACGGGCAGGGGGTCCTCTTC